CTTCTCCAGAGATCTCATTGATACGATTACTGCCTACTACGACACATGGGTGTGTTGGGGAACAGACCGTATGCCTAGCAGACGTGAACAACACCTACCACCACCCAAGTGGGTCCTCGAGCCCGTATTTGTAAAGCAACTTGGAGATACATACAAACGAACCAAAGCACAAGGTGACTTTCATGCATTTCTGGTCGCAAATAGAGAGGTGAGAGACATGAGCAACGTTATATGTAATAAACATTGGGAAGAGTTCCTGCAAAGTATAAATGAGCAAACAACACTTGTTGAAGTTTGGGGAAAGATACGAAAAATCTCTTGAAGCAACCCAACCAAACCACTGCACCACAGCCCACTAGAACAAGCAAACATCCTCCTTGATTAATGGGCACTAACATCAAGCTACGACTCACTCTCAATTAACATACAGCACAAACTTGATGACACACGCCCAAACAGACATCGAACCATCAATCTTGCCTGTACAGCTATCGACGTGTCGGACCTTAATGATGTAACTGAATGGAAATTAAATCATGCACTAAAGATGGGAAAATCAATTGCTCCTGGAGAGGACGGTATTACTTTCAGTTTACTGAGATTAGTCTCACAAGTACCAGGTAATCCACTTTTAGTGTTCTTCAGAATGAGTTTAAGTGAAGGAGTATTACCTGATGCTTGGACGATGAGTGTCATTTTTCCTATCCCCAAACCACACTCAGATAATTATAGACCCATATCTCTAACATCGTGTGTTTGTAAAGTGCTTGAACGCATTGTTCTTAACCGACTCATGTATCATATACAGGGGCACTTGTCACCCCAACTGTTTGGATTTATGCCTGGGCTCAGTACACAACACTGTTTTGCTGAATACTTCGCTCATATTGAAGCTTTCCCTCAAGCAGTCTTCATCGACCTAGCAGCAGCTTTTGATACAGCAAACAGAGAAATCATATTAGAACAGCTTGCTGAGCTGGGAATACAAGGAAAATTACTGAAATGGATAAAGGGCTATTTGTCTAATCGAACAGCATATGTTTTGTTTAATGGTGTTAAAAGCACAGAGAGCAAATACTTTGAACTGGGAACTCCACAAGGAGGGTCCTCATCCCCTTGTTGTTCAACGTTCTGATGCATAAACTTATTAAAGATCTACCAACTAATAATGAAGACACTGTCATTTGTTATGCTGATGATATATGTTTACAGGCTGCCTCCGAGCCTAGAATGCAAGGTCTGCTCGATGCTTTTGCTACTAGAGGTGAGGAATGTGGCCTCATTATCTCTGTACAGAAAACTCGTGCCCTCATTCCGTGTGGTATTCCACCCACCAATTATCATATAGATGGGCGAGCACTTGAGAACTGCGAGTCTTACAGATACCTTGGTGTCCCCAATAACGACCCTGGGTACCTTTCTTCTCTCAAGAAGAGACTCTGGGAGAGATTAAAGCCCTTGCGGGTCCTTGTTGGTATCAATCATGGAATTAACGTGAGACTTGCTAGAATGTTTTATGTATCATTTATACGCTCTGTGATTGACTACAATGCTCTACATCTCACACTGTATACAGACAAAGAGCTGAAATCTCTTGAAGCCTTGCAAAATGAAGCTATGAGTCTCATCCTTGGGGCTCCAAAGTCCTCGAGAATAGTTAATACGAGAGCAGAGTTAAAATTACCTACCATAAGTGAGAGAATTTTGTCTATTAGCATAGTTTTCGGCGTGAAGGCATTGAGTAGATCTAGGCAACACATGAAGTTTCAAGCTAAACTTTCTATTATGCTGCACTCACGTGAGGTCTATAGAAGAAGAACGAAGTCTGTTTATGTATCTTGGTTCTACAAGGTAGCCAACTCCATCAAAATATTAAATATGTACCCAACTCAGTTAATGATTAACCAATTACTCCATGGGATAACTGGGATCTATTAGTTGATTTTGTAAATGCGTCCAAGAAAGATTGTGTGCACTCTACATTATTAAAACAGTTAACACTGAAAAGCATCACTGAGAGTACTCAGAGTATGGGTAACGATGTGTATCAGTGCTATACCGACGGCTCTGTAGAAGAAGGTGGACGATATACCGGATGTGCATGTAATATATTTGAACAATCTTCTCTCGTACATACAGCAATGAAGCGCGTCAATGACTGGGCAAGTACAACTCAAACCGAATTTGCAGGCGTACACCTTGCCACTGAATTTTTAAAAGACAAAGGCAGTGGACTCGCAGAGTGTACTCCTGGCATTGAACGCACATAGTAGTGACACCCAGAAAATAGTCAGTGGTATTCGAATGAATGTTTTAGTTGCTATAGAAAACAGATTTGAAATTAAATTCCTATGGATAACATCACATGTTGGCATCTCAAGGCATGACACTGTTGATATGCTTGCAAAGACAGCCTATAGAAAACCAGTGGTAGAAATTGATATAGGTGTTTCATTAGCAGTGACAAAGAGAATACTTAAACAAATATCTAATGAAGATCTCACCAACCTAACAAATTCACAAAGACCTGAAAGTTGCAACATTAAATATTATGATAGATATCGTGAAGAGACATTCGCATATATAAATAGGAGCTGCCTCGAATGGGCAAATAAGCCTTCTGCAGTTACCTTTGTTCTTATGTTCTTATGGGACTAACAGAGCAAGAACTCGGCATCGAGATGTTATAGTTGCCAGAATACGCCTGGGATATAGACGTATCTGGCAGCTTTCTCAAAACCCAAATGACGACTACACAATGTATAAACTTTGTGAAAGAGGAAACATGCACACTCTCTTGAACATTATATTGTAAAATGTCCCATATACACTGACTTTCGCCTTCCTGGGCTAAGGTATGCTGAACTCCGTAATTACTATATGAGTACTGGAACACTTGATGATATATTGGACTTGTACCCAAGATTGACCATGTAATGCATCAATTATACAATGTATGTATGTGATGTAACTATATAACCTGAGCTTGTAAATGCACCTTAATCACCTTCAGTGATTAAGTGCTTAATTGCACACTAGTTTCTGTATCAGCTATCTCACTCTGTCAGAGTAAAAGAGACAAATGTATGTGAATGCATAAGTGTGTATTTATGTATGTATATATGTATGTAGTATTGCTGACTCACACCACCCCCAGACAACGCTCCTGTAGTATTGCTGACTCACACCACCCCCAGACAACGCTCCTGTAGTATTGCTGACTCACACCACCCCCAGACAACGCTCCTGCAGTATGTGCTGACTCACACCACCCCCAGACAACGCTCCTGTAGTATTGCTGACTCACACCACCCCCAGACAACGCTCCTGCAGTATGTGCTGACTCACACCACCCCCAGACAACGCTCCTGCAGTATGTGCTGACTCACACCACCCCCAGACAACGCTCCTGCAGTATGTGCTGCCAACCATCCTCCTGATATGATACAACAGTACATTTGGTAAAACGTATCACTATGTACTATTGCACCAAAAAGTTTAATTTTGTGCTACAATATTAAATATATAGAATCCGAGAAAAAAATATAAAAACCAAACTTGAACAGTCCTAGGCCTAAGGTTCTCCTAATTATCAGGAGTAAACGCCAATCCATTATGCAATTGGAAGGGATGTGGATGAAGATTTGGGATGGGGCGGGGAAGGAATGGTGCCTAACCACTTGGACGGTCAGGGATTTACCGCAATGCTGCAAGAAGCGAGACCGTCGCTCTACCGTCCAGTCCAAATGGTTGGACATTGTATAGCACTTACTGTGTATGAGCTAAGAAAGCGTATATTAAGCCTAGAATTACTTGGACATGTTAGGTTTGGTTCTTTGGTTACATTTCCGATTTTCTAGAACGCCACTTCAGATAATTCACTAATACAAAACGTGAACTTTTTGGTGGTCCAACAGTCCATATTGACACGTTGGACCAAATAATTGCTATAAGTACTATATTTTTAGTTGGATGGGCTGGTGCTGCTGGAAGCAACATTACACAATGAAAGTAAGATGCAGGTCGGTTAGTGGCCGTTTGGTCCTAGGTCGCGCAAACGAGCGAAAACTGACGTTATTTTAAGAGGACGGGTTGGGAGAGAGCGGGTTGGTTCCATAACTTACATCTCGCATGCAGAATGAGAAGCAAAATATTCATCCGTAATCCACATCACTTGTGGCTACAGAACCATCAGGTTTGGTGAGTGGTGGCATATTCAACAGGAGGTAGATTGATTGATTGATAAAGATTAAGTCACCCAAGACGTGGCACGGGCATGAATAGCCCGTAAAACAGGAGGTGGGGAGAGAGAGAGAAGATTAAGCTACCCAAAAGGTGGCTTGGGCATGAATAGCCCATAAGTGGTGGCCCTTTTGAGCCATTTCCAGTATCAATAGATGATACTGGAGATCTGTGGAGGTGCGACTGCACCCTGCGTGACGGGAGATGTCTCCCGTGGTCAGGAGGTAGCTCTCGCTGCTCTTTTATAGTGCACTACCAAGCTTAGCTAACCACCGACTCACCTGCTAATTAGTTTCTTAAGTCCTCGTCCTACATGTTAGTAGTCCATTTTTGCACCGGCATCATAAGATGTCTCGCGTTATTATTAGTGGATCTTATTTCCCTAGAGTTGACCTTCGTCGGTAACATTTCACGGCTCTAAATTTCTCATCGGCTGCAGCTCAACAATGATACGAAAGTCAGAGTTGGTCATCTGCTCTGTGGATTTCTCATTCTGATGTATTATTATGTGGAAATTCAGCTTTTCAACCTGCGTAATAGCACCTCTTGTGAGACAAACATCCCAATATTCATTCAGAAGAAAGTTGAACAATCTTTGTCAGTCCCCCTGGTCCCAACTCCAGCAAGGTAGTACGCGATGCTTCACTGTTTCTGGCACTGTCGATGTTGTTGTATACTACTTGATGGTCCGAGGAACCAACATGGCCTAGTGGTTGACTAGTAACTGAATTTTATCATGATGCACCATCACCTCACAGCGATGACGTCACCGGAGTGGGTACCTGGCCCTCATCAGCTGACAAAATACCTGACTGAAGACGTTCACCTGATCCTCTCCACCAACCTCAACCTTACTTGTCGTGCTTCTGCAAGACCTCCGCCTACCATCACCTGGTTCAAGGTACGGCCACACCCGCCCCACGTCTCATGGTATCAGGTAATTCATACCTTTCCACATCACTTGGTATCATGTAATCAATACCCCTCCACATTACTTGGTATCTGGTAATCGACACCCCTCCACATCACGATATCAGGTAATCCATATTCCTCCACATCAATGAGATCAGGTAATCCACATCCCTCCACATTACTTGGTAGCAGGTAATCAATAATTAGCAAGATTATTACACCTAAACAAATAATTTAATGAAAATAAGTCAAAAGAACCATCTACCCTCCTTCTTTCCTCAGCCTCTAAGTAGGATTGGAGCCTTATCCTCAGTGTCTTCTTTGCGCCCTCTTTCAGAACGGGCAGCTGCTGCAGTCTGAGGAAGCCAACGGAAGGATAAGAGTAACGCAAGAAGAGCTTCTGTTCGCTCCATTCCTCCCTGATGATAACGGTCGCTATCGCTGTCTGGTACGAGTTTTTTACCACATATAATGCTAAACAGTATATAGTAATAATTCATTGTGTCGGGGGGGGGGGGAACAGCCATCCAATTTATATTTACCTGAGGGTCACTATTTCTCTAGTGGCTTCGACGAGGACAGGAAGCCAGTAGCCTATCAAAGGTCTCCTTGAAATTCAGCATAGTTTTGGGATTTACAGCTTCGGGAGCAGGTGGTTCCATGGGCTTTAAACTATGGGTGGTAAAAGCATCTCCTGTTTTCCGTTCTGCATTGTGGCTTGTTGACCTTGAAACCGTTGCTCTTCGTTCGTGTTACATCTGACCTTTTTAAAAAGTGATCTGTAACATATCCTGCAATTTGTTCATTATTTTAAAATTTTCAACGAGATCAACCCTGACATGTCTGGTTCGTAGTATTATTAGCCCTGTAGCCCTCAACCACTCTTGATATGAAAGTTTACTTATATATATATATACTGTATATATATATACATATATATATATATATATATATATATATACATATATATATATATATATATATATATATATATGACTGAAAACTCACACCCCAGAAGTGACTCGAACCCATACTGCCAGGAGCAACACAACTGGTATTTACAGGATGCCTTAATCCGCTTGACCATCACGACCAGACATAAGGAACTGATAGCCGAAGCTATTTGGACCACTTCCCCGCTGGCACTCGGATGGTAATCTTGGGCATAGCATTTTATCAAATCACCTCATTCTTTGGGGCACACGTGAGGAACACAAATGCGAATTTGTGTTCCTCACGTGTGCCCCAAAGAATATTTCTGTCTATTTTACCCCCCCCCCCCCCCAACCCTCTATTTAGTCTTTTTTTTATTCATTTTTTATGTCTTCCTGTTTCTTCAGATAAAGTTTTCGTTTACCTGAGTTTTACTGTTATTTTCTTGATTTCTCTCTCTCTGTTGCCTTTACCGTCGGCCGAGGGGAGCCGGTCGGCCGAGCGGACAGCACGCTGGACTTGTGATCCTGTGGTCCTGGGTTCGATCCCAGGCGCCGGCGAGAATCAATGGGCAGAGTTTCTTTCACCCTATGCCCCTGTTACCTAGCAGTAAAATAGGTACCTGGGTGTTAGTCAGCTGTCACGGGCTGCTTCCTGGGGGTGGAGGCCTGGTCGAGGACCGGGCCGCGGGGACACTAAAAAGCCCCGAAATCATCTCAAGATAACCTCAAGATAACCGTCTCTATCGAATATGCCATCTATATATATGTGAGGCCACCATGTACCTTCCCGACTATCTGATTTCTTATAAATATTTTAACGCTTCTCTTCTTTGGTTGTGATACACCTAGACACATACTAACAGTATGAACAAATGTCAGCTGATATATGGCCAATAATAAGGGTGGGTTGTCCCGCAGGTGATGAACAAAGCCGGCCACCTACTACACGAAGCGTACTTGTACAAGACCCGGTCTATCAGCCCCATGCTTATCTTCCTCTGGATTCTCCTGGCCGTCGTGTTGGCTGCCACCTTCACAGCCATTCTCTTCTGCTTCATTACGGGGTCTAGGAAGGTGAGGTTTAATATAATGGAGCGATGCGTAGGTCGCCGGGGTTGACCATGTGCGCTCTCTGGAGCTTGCGCGCTTTACCATTTGTAAAGAAACTTTTCTCATATTAAGAAAAAGACTGCACGAATATTTTCCATTACACTGATGCACAATGCCACAAACACAGCCATCCACACAAGCAACCACATCGTACTGTTTGTTACCTTTCACTCAAACTATTTCAACAACCTGCTCTCAAACATCACATTTTCATTGCGTGAAAATTATGATCACACTGTGCATAATTATCAACACACGCTGCGCATGCAAGATGAAACACAGCCCCAACACTATTCCCACATAACACAACACTCTTCTCCTTGGAACCAGGAACAAAATGCCTCGTGCTGTGCCCCAACACTATATGTTAGCATCACACTTAGCATCATATATCCACCTTATATTTTACTCCTTCTTTCTCCCTTATCGTCTCCACACACACACACAACACCACCACTACCATCACCACTAGTTAACACCACCACTACCATCACCACTAGTTAACACCACCACTACCATCACCACTAGTTAACACCACCACTACCATCACCACTAGTTAACACCACCACTACCATCACCACTAGTTAACACCACCACTACCATCACCACTAGTTAACACCACCACTACCATCACCACTAGTTAACACCACCACTACTATCACCGCTAGTTAACACCACCACTACCATCACCACTAGTTAACACCACCACTACCATCACCACTAGTTAACACCACCACTACCATCACCGCTAGTTAACACCACCACTACCATCACCACTAGTTAACACCACCACTACCATCACCACTAGTTAACACCACCACTACCATCACCACTAGTTAACACCACCACTACCATCATCACTAGTTAACACCACCACTACCATCACCACTAGTTTACACCACCACTACCATCACCACTAGTTAACACCACCACTACCATCACCACTAGTTAACACCACCACTACCATCACCACTAGTTAACACCACCACTACCATCACCACTAGTTAACACCACCACTACCATCACCACTAGTTTACACCACCACTACCATCACCACTAGTTAACACCACCACTACCATCACCACTAGTTAACACCACCACTACCATCACCACTAGTTAACACCACCACTACCATCACCACTAGTTAACACCACCACTACCATCACCACTAGTTAACACCACCACTACCATCACCACTAGTTAACACCACCACTACCATCACCACTAGTTAACACCACCACTACCATCACCACTAGTTAACACCACCACTACCATCACCACTAGTTAACACCACCACTACCATCACCACTAGTTAACACCACCACTACCATCACCACTAGTTAACACCACCACTACCATCACCACTAGTTAACACCACCACTACCATCACCACTAGTTAACACCACCACTACCATCACCACTAGTTAACACCACCACTACCATCACCGCTAGTTAACACCACCACTACCATCACCACTAGTTAACACCACCACTACCATCACCACTAGTTAACACCACCACTACCATCACCACTAGTTAACACCACCACTACCATCACCACTAGTTAACACCACCACTACCATCACCGCTAGTTAACACCACCACTACCATCACCACTAGTTAACACCACCACTACCATCACCACTAGTTTACACCACCACTATATCACCACTAGTTTACACCACCACTACCATCACCACTAGTTAACACCACCACTACCATCACCACTAGTTTACACCACCACTACCATCACCACTAGTTAACACCACCACTACCATCACCGCTAGTTAACACCACCACTAGTTAACACCACCACTACTGTCACCACTAGTTAACACCACCACTACTGTCACCACTAGTTAACACCACCACTACCATCACCACTAGTTAACACCACCACTACCATCACCACTAGTTTACACCACCACTACCATCACCACTAGTTTACACCACCACTACCATCACCACTAGTTTACACCACCACTACCATCACCACTAGTTTACACCACCACTACCATCACCACTAGTTTACACCACCACTACCATCACCACTAGTTTACACCACCACTAGTTAACACCACCACTACCATCACCACTAGTTTACACCACCACTACCATCACCACTAGTTAACACCACCACTACCATCACCGCTAGTTAACACCACCACTACCATCACCACTAGTTAACACCACCACTACTGTCACCACTAGTTAACACCACCACTACTGTCACCACTAGTTAACACCACCACTACTGTCACCACTAGTTAACACCACCACTACCATCACCACTAGTTAACACCACCACTACCATCACCACTAGTTTACACCACCACTACCATCACCACTAGTTTACACCACTACCATCACCACTAGTTAACACCACCACTACCATCACCGCTAGTTAACACCACCACTACCATCACCACTAGTTAACACCACCACTACTGTCACCACTAGTTAACACCACCACTACTGTCACCACTAGTTAACACCACCACTACCATCACCACTAGTTAACACCACCACTACCATCACCACTAGTTAACACCACCACTACCATCACCACTAGTTTACACCACCACTACCATCACCACTAGTTAACACCACCACTACCATCACCACTAGTTAACACCACCACTACCATCACCGCTAGTTTACACCACCACTACCATCACCACTAGTTTACACCACCACTACCATCACCACTAGTTTACACCACCACTACCATCACCACTAGTTAACACCACCACTACCATCACCACTAGTTAACACCACCACTACCATCACCACTAGTTAACACCACCAGTAGTTAACACCACCACTACTGTCACCACTAGTTAACACCACCACTATTTATTCTCAACACAACTGGCGTATGCACTCAGTATAATATGAAACCTAGAGACAGAAACATCCCACAGACTATAATAACCGCGAGCCCCACTACAGGCCGGTTACTCTATTGACCTCACCACCATCACTCTGACCCCAATTCAATGCCAGCACCACAGCTGTTCTCTAAAACAACAAAATACGTCCTAGTCCTGGCCCAACAGAGACAACAGAGCGACTTACAGGAGGTCGAGCGAAGGTTCCTGAAGGGAGCCCCAGCCGGTAACACTCCGTTGACGTTGCCGGAACAGGCAGACATTCTGCCGTACGACGAAAGGTTCGAAGTGGCCAGGAAGAGGCTCGTTCTGGGTGAGTATAAGGTATACCATAAACTAACAACTACTGGCGACAATAACCAATTGGGTTGCATAACAGTTGTCACATTCGAAGTTGTCAGGGCGTGTGTTCATCGTTCTGGGCGGCTTTAGTCAGTATACGCCGTCCTGGGAGTCAAACATATTTGTTTAATCATATACAATTCTGTCGGTAAATGTGGAAATACCTTATAATTAAGTATATATTTAAACTATACGTTGGCGCTGAACAAACAGATAAAACAGGTATGGTCCTGAGCATACGAAATCAAGGTCTGTTATAATTATAATGGTCAGTGTTATATTATTCACATTGTTTGTATAAATGAATAATTAAGTTATATTTTAAATTCTGTAAAGTCAGTTATAAATTCACAACCATTTTATGAATTAAAGTTTTTGAGTCTATAAATGTAAACATTTGGACAGTTATGAATATATATATTTAATTCAACTAATTTCAGTTTATGGATCTTAGCATATAGGTGCAGGGGCTGCTTAATGGCATCCAAATTTATATATACTATATGTGGATGTTCTATTTTTTATATCACAGCTAAAATAGCATCGTCTCGATGGGATCGATGGGAAGAGAAGATGTCAATATATTGAGTTTATTTATAACTGAAGTAATGTAGGAAATAATAGGGTCAATATTTATGTTGCTTAGCTGGGTGAAGTATTTAATTGTTAACGTAGTCCACATGTATGGTAGTATGGAGTATATGTACAAAAATTAACTGTGGTGCCCCAAAGTGGTCGTTTTATATTATTGGTGCAGTATTGAAAAGGGCAAGAGAAAGAATGCCAAAAACCTAATGTAAGCTACCCTAGACCCATCATATTACACTAGAGGGGTTACCAAGCGTTGTTCAGATGAAGGACGCCACATCTTCACTACTCACTGTCTTCACTACTCACCATTTGCATCACTGCAGTCATCTTCCCTACAAACTATCGTCATCACTGTAACCCCTTCTCCTTGCACACTATTTTTATTACGGTAAATGTCTTCCCTCTACAGTTTCTTGTACTTTGTAATCATGTTAACATCCCTCTCCACCGCCTTCCCTACCCTTCATTATCTTCCTTATTCTTCACCAACTTCCTTACCTTTCACCAAAATCTTTACCTTTCACCACTTTCCGTACCCTTCACTATTTTTCCCATCTTCCTCTCTACATTTGATCTTCACCACATTGCCTATCCTTCACCACCCTCCCTACCCTTCACCACCTGCCTTACCTTTCACACCTTTCCCTTCATCCATATAATCTTAGTGATGATGGAGTCTTTTCTTGAGCGAGGTTGGAAATTAGATAGTTGCATTTATTTATCAATGTTTAACGTCAATAGTTTTGTAATTTATCAGTACTGTATTTAAATATTAATTTATTAATATTTTTAAGTACCTAATGTATCATTACAACGAGTTTATTAGGAACGAATAAATCCAATAAAATTACATGCAGATAAATTCATGTATTCTAATAAATATATGCCAACATTAATTTACAGAAAAAATGACTAAAATTAACATTAAAAAAAGGTTAATCCCACCAATAAAACTAAAGCTGTGGTAAGAAGCCAACCTACTCCATGAAGTGGAGTATTTCTCTCACTCGGAAAGAAACATCACCCCCTGGATTACTGTATCTGAGCCTCTGTCATCACAACAGTATATGTCTGTAGTTCCCCAAGTGCCCCACACTTGGGGAACCGGCAAGTACCACACGAATAGAGGGAACACCACAGTCATCACAGCTAGGAATACAACTACAGGTCATCGGGTAACTGCATTATACAGGTGTCGTCTGTACACAAACGAGGGAGTAAAATATTTTAATGCATATATTATAGTATATCTAAAAAAAAAAAAAAAACATGATTAGCTGTGTGTGACTTCAGATGCCATAGAGGCATCTCTGAGATGGTTGTGCTTGGCTTCAGGAAAGCTGCTGGGGAGCGGAGAGTTTGGGAGTGTTTACTGTGGCACGGCCAAAGACTTAGTCCCCGGCGAGGCCCACACCCATGTCGCCGTCAAGATGGCCAGGTCGACAGAGGAGATCTCCCACCTCAAGGCTCTCTGCACCGAGGCCAAGATCCTCATCCACATTGGGCGACACATCAATATCGCCAACCTGCTGGGCGTCTGTTCCGAGAATATGGGCTCCAAAGGTTAGTGTTGATACGTATTATACCAGTAGCTATAGCTATCTTCCTTCGTTATAACTGTAGTTTTCAGAATAAATAAACCCAAAACTGGTGATCTAAATTCTATAATCGATATAAAGATTACCAACCTTATCTATAATATTTAAAAAGATCACAAACAGTCTTGTTTGTGCAGGCGATGAGTCAATAACGTGGCTGAAGTATGTTGACCAGACCACACACTAGAAGGTGAAGGGACGACGACGTTTCGGTCCGCCCTGGACCATTCTCAAGTCGACTTGAGAATGGTCCAGGACGGACCGAAACGTCGTCGTCCTTTCACCTTCTAGTGTGTGGTCTAGTCAACAGTTTTGTTTGTATCATCTGACGACCGACACGCCAATTAAGTGCTCTTTCTGACAACTGACACATCAGGTACCCTCTCTAACAACTAATACGTCAACTACCCAATCTAACAACTAGCACATCAGGTGCCTTCTCTAACAACTGACACATCAGATGCCATTTCTCCCACAGGTGAGATGCTACTGATATTGGAATACTGCCAAAATGGGAACTTGTTGGATTATATAAGGCAGCATCAGCAGGACCTGGGGAGAGAGGTGTGGAGGCCAGAGGGACGCCAGGGGAAGATAAGGGACCTGCAGCAGCAACTCCGGTTAGTTCCGTCCCGGGCAGCTCTTACCTCCAACTCTCATATATATATATATATATATATATATATATATATATATATATATATATATATATATATATATATATATATATATATATATATATATGTATATGTATATATATATATATATACATTAATATATATATATATATATATATATATATATATATATATATATATACATATATATATATATATATATATTAATATATATATATATATATTAATATATATATATATATATATACATATATATATACATATATATACATATATATATATATATATATATATATATATATATATATATATATATATATATATATATATATATTATCATAAACAATCCAGGCAGTAGTAGAAAAAGCCGATGGCATTCTCAGCGCCGCAACATCAGACAAGGAGAAAGCCCCCCATGCAGGAGACTTCCTCCTGGCAGTACCCATGTCGGCAATGGGCACGCGCCTTGATCCCGAATCCCTTCGTGTAGCAGTGGCCCTCCGCCTTGGTGCCCCAATTCACACTGAATACAAGTGCATTTGCAACAGCGTGGAAGCAGAAAAATATGGACTGCTTGAGTTGCACTGCGGAAGCATAAAATGTAATTACCCTGGCTTTTTGCGCGCGCGGCGCTTGACGCAAACCGCTTAATTAATGGCATTCAACGCCTAGTTTTTCTTTCCCCAGAAATTTCTCCGTTTTCTTTCAAGCAGTGTCCATATGTTTTCAATAACTTTTGCATCATAAATGCATTGAAATGATTATTATGCAGAATATATAAGCAAGACTAAGTAACATTAGATATTCCTCTTATCACTCTGTTGGTCCCGAGAAGCCATGACTGCAATGTGAGCGTGTCCACAGGGAAGCTGGCTTGGGTCTGGCCTCTGGACACCCTCCAGCCTCCCGCCGCCGCCCCTCTGATGTCACACCCTACACATACTTCCAGTCCTCTGATATCTCACTACACCACCGCTGCTCATCTGACGCCACCTTATCTACACTCGGTAAGTGCTAACTCGACTCATGTATGTTATCTTACTTCTCGTTTATTTTTAAGCGTTTTCTTCATTTAATCTTCACCTGTTTGACCTGCGGACTACTAACCCTAGTCGCCTCGACGAGGACAGGAAGCCGGCGGCTTGTCGACGGTCCTCCTATTTGTCTTGATGATCTTTTCCAGGTATATTTTAAAATTTAAAATCTTTCAATTGTACTAATTTAATCCATGTTTATGTCCTAGTGGTTACAATACACGTTTGTATTTCCTTACTACTATTAATGTTAAAAACCACTTTTGTATTCCTGATAGAACAACAGATTCCATAACGTATTAGTCTACGGATGTCATCATTCATTATCACCCATTACATTATATATAATTTATTATATTTTATTAACATTCTCACATATGTCACTTACTTCCCTTTTATTATTATGTGTTTACCTCATTATCCTTATCAATATTTTTTTATCTGAATTATTCAAAGCTTTAAACAAAGTTGCTTTGTGTAGTAGTGGGTTTATATTTATGTGTAACCCCGGTACCTACACCGGCCCCCTTCATCTTCTGTTCTTTGTACACACATTCTTATGAATACAACTATTATTATTATTATTATTATTATTATTATTATTATTATTATTATTATTATTATTATTATTATTATTATTATTATTATTATTATTAAGTATAATCCTCGTTGTTTTCGTGCAACTCATTCAATTATATAATTAATGTATTTTGTCGGGGACAGGCAGCCTGTGTAAATATATACGTTAGGGGTCTCGGTAGGATAGTTGGGTTTGTTCTCGACTCACAATTGAGAAATCCCGGGTGGGACAGAAACAGTTGGGCATGTTTTCTATTACATGATGCCTCTCATCATATAGCAGTAAATAGGTACCCAGGGGTTATGCAGCTTCTTGTGCGGTTGCATCCTAGGGAGGGTGCCTTATATATATATATATATATATATATATATATATATATATATATATATATATATATATATATATATATATATATATATATATATATATATATATATATATATATATATATATATATATATATATATATATATATATATATATATATATATATATATATATATATATATATATATATATATATATATATATATATATATATATATACTGAAAACTCACACCCCAGAATACTGCCAGGAGCAACGCAACTGGTATATACAGGACGCCTTAATACGCTTGACCATCACGACCGGACAAAAGGAAGTGATAGCCGAATCTATTTGAACCACTTCCCCGCCGGCACTCGGATGGTTATCTTGGGCATAGCATTTTATCAAATCACCTCATTCTTTGGGGCACACGTGAGGAACACAAATGCGAACAAGCCTGAATGGTCCCCAGGACTATATGCAACTGAAAACTCACACCCCAGAAGTGACTCGAACCCTCTGGGGTTCGTGACTCTGAAGGGACAATTTAAAGTGTCCTCTCCTAACCTACCAGAGGACCTAAAACAGAAAACGGGACAGTACGTCACTTTCGCGAGCCGCTTCAATTTTCTACTGCGACATTTTTTGGCCTTATGTAACGCATGCGAGGGAAAAGCGACGTTCTTTGTAGGAGGACAGGTTGAGTAGTTAGCCAAGGGGGACCTTAATAAGCCTAAGTGCAGGCTTCCTGTCCCAGCAACGGGAATTAAAGTATCATAAGGCTGGTAAGCAAGTAGAATGAACTGGGGGGTGGTGATGGCGAAAGCTTTCACTTTTCACATCTGTCAGAGCAGGTATGATAGAGCTCTAGTTACTGTCTAATATTCATGAAACCGGCAGCCCTAATAACAGAAGACCTGGACTAAGCGCACAGTTTCTTCAGCAGGAGCGAGCAGCAGAAATAACGTAATTAGGTCCGGGTCGTTCTGCGGGTCACATTTTGAGCTCCTGGGCGCCTCTGACACTTTACTCTCGTGGGCCTACCAGATCTCCCGCGGCATGGAGTACCTCGCCATCAGGAAGGTAATGTACAACCTTTATGCATTCAAAGTATCCGAACTCCCTCATTAGGAAGCAACAGTGTTATTGGAGTTTATATTATCATGTGTATGTGGGACTGTTATAAAAAAGTGTGCTTTGCGTATGTGGGACTAATATTCTTTGGCGTGATAATACTCTGAGTGCGGCCCATCGCAGGATTTGCATTCGAGTGTAGTGTTGTTGTGAGCAGTCATCGGGAGGACAAACCCTTCATGCAAACTGCACCTACTATCAAGAAGAAGAAGTGTTGTTGCAACTAGTCCAGCAGTGTTCCTGGGCAGACAATGAGTCACAAACGTGGCTGAAGAAATGATGACTAAATCACAAAGAAGATAGAGAAGCGACGACGTTTCGGTCCGTTCTGGACCATTATTAAGTCACACGACATGATAATGGTCCAGGACGGACCGAAACATCGTCGCTGTTCCATCTTCTAAGTTGTGGTTTAGTCATCAAACGTGGCCTCTGTTCGGAGCACCTTAAGCAGTACTGGGAATCCTTGCAAGATTTGGTAACATTTGAAACATTAAACTAAGTTAAGAAATTCAACAGGGGTGATGTGGTAAGAGGAATGCTGATGTTGTGTATTTTGATTCCCTGTTGAAGGAGTTTGTTGACTTCAGTTGTGGAGGAACATCGTACCTTGAGTGTTATGGTGCCTGCTTCGTGGTACATCTCCGTGACAGATATTGTTTCTGTTGTCTGTATCTTGAGTGAGTGTAGGTGTCTCACATAATGAATCAACAACTGTGCTGCCTACATTGTGTGCATTTTGATTTTTGCTTACGGGTGTGTGGCGAAAAAGTATTTGATGCCTGTGTTAGTGCTGGTGTGGTTCGTGGGTGCCATGTTTTATAACACTGCAAAATATAGTAATGCAGTCAAACGTGTCAAGAGGTGCGGTTCCAGTATATCGCGTCCGCAGACAGTGCGCAATTTTGGCAGACTGACCGAGGAGCTTTCCGTGTATTGTAACCAATCACTGCAACAGTGCGATGGGGTGAATGTGTAGGCCATGTACAACTACGAACAAATACCTTGTTCTTCGCGGTTGCAACCCAGCTTTGGTTGACTCACAGTTTCACGGGGTTCCACAGCTGGATCGGTGAGTAACAAAAATGAAGAAAGTTTTAGAAGAGAAGACTAAGATTACATTTAAGTCATAAAGCATCCACAAAAGGTGATCTGCCAGCTTCGCACCTCAATCCGGCCTGAGACCAAGTCTATTCCATCCAGCGGTCGACCCCAAAGACGCATTCATCAATTTTAACATGCTGTTCATTCATATGATAAAATGCTGATCATTCATATGATATTTTATGTACAATATGCTAATATATAATAGTATTAATTTATATTTGACAAAATTCCTGTTTTGAATGAACAGCATGTTAAATTGATGAATGCGTCTTTGGGGTCGACCGCTGGATGGAATGGACTAGGTCTGAGGACGGATTGGAGGGCGACGAGAACTTAGGCCTCTGCAACGATGAAAGATGTCGAAAAGAAATGTTCTTTAATTAAATGCCATATTAAATGCATACTTCCCTTCAACACTGTATAACAAAACTGTAACAATATATATTGTATATATATGCTTACAATTAAAAAGTATTAATAATAATTAATTATTATTAATACTGTATTTAAATTATTATTATAATTTAAATACCAGTGCCATACTGGCACTGGAACATTGTATGATGAAGATTTATAGGGAAGAGCTATGTGAACACCCTACCACTACACCCATCTGTTATAACGATTCGGTGTGAATGACAGTAATATGAAGATGATGTGTGTAACTTGATAATGATGTACGTATTACAGCAACATGATAATGATGTATGTATTACAGCAACATGATAATGATGTATGTATTACAGCAACATGATAATGATGTATGTATTACAGCAACATGATAATGATGTGGTGTATGGTACAGATACGTGATAAAGATGTGATGTGTGCGAGTGTAACATGACGAAGACGTGGTGTGTGCAAGAATAACATGATAAAGATGTGATGTGTGCGTGTGTAACATGACGAAGACGTGGTGTGTGCAAGAATAACATGATAAAGATGTGACGTGTGGGAGAGTAACCAGCTGTGATGTGTGTGTGAGTGACAGGTGCTGCATGGGGACCTGGCAGCCCGCAACATCCTGCTTGACAACAACCTCTTGGTCAAGATCAGCGACTTCGGTCTCTCCAGGACAATGTACAGAGGCATCTACTGCAAGGGAACCGGGGTGAGTGACTCCGTGACTTACTAGGCTCCTTCCTTCACAGATTTCAGCTAGAGAGAAATTATTATAAGAAAAACACTAAGCCCGACAAGCTATATGATTAACAGCTGTGTTAAATAATATTAAAGAGTTTAAAATAATTCAGGATGCCAGTACGAGAGCATAACGACATAACACAAGCGATGCTAAAGGAGTCAGTTTTTCCCTAGGGTTATCGAGAGGCATATTTCTCAAAAAAAAAAAAAAAAAAAAAAAACGGGTTCAGCTAATTGCCCGAAACGCTGTGCGTATTAGTGGCTTTAGGCATAGTATGTACTAGCTTTATCTAGAAATCTAACATTCTGTTTGTAACTCCTCTTGTATGTATGTACTTTAACCTGAATAAACATTTATTTATATTTATTATAGTGTTGAGCTTAGGATATGTATCTTCTAGTTTGGTATGATTTAAATCACATTAATTCTCATTAATTTCCTACCCTATTTTTCACAATAAAAAATTCGTCGATAATGCAACAATCCGTTAAATTTGCATGAATATATTATTTCTATAACCTAATGCATCTTAGGTATTTCATTTTACTGTGAAAAATATGATAAAGATGGTTTGATAACGAATCGACACGATTTATTGAATTATATATTTGGCGCACGTTTTATGCATAAACAAATATCAAAAGAAGGCACCATGCTGCTGAGACTGTAGCACCATCCATAATCTGTAAATATTACTTGGGTATAGCGTCTTCCCTTCATCTGCGTCTTTTTCGCCTTCACAAACTTTCCTCTATCACAGATCCCTCCCTATCCCCATTGATAGTAACCATTCAATATAGCCCGTTTACATGGACATTTTGTTCTGAGTAGCTAAATATAAAACAACAACATCCTGACGCCCATCATTCACCTTCTGACACCAATCATTTACTTCATGAAAGCCCCGTTATTCTCCTCCTGCCACCCATAATCACTTAAGGACACCTACCATTCACCTCCTGATTTTCCTGATACCCGTTTCCGGACACCCACCATTCACCTCACCCCCTTCCCCACACCAGCAAGCAGTCCCGTGGAAGTGGATGTCGGTGGAGGGGCTGAGCAACGGGGTCCTGACAACGAAGAGCGATGTGTGGGCCTTCGGAGTGGTGCTGTGGGAGATCTTCAGCTTGGGCAAGGACCCGTACCCGGGCGTCACTTGTGATGATAACTTCATTAGGAGTTTGGAGAGCGGCGATCGACTGTCCCAGCCTAGCTTTTCCACCAAAGATATGTGAGTTATCTTGGAAAGTTGCTTCATGGCATGCAACAAGACGGGAGTTTTATCTCGGTGACGTATTATAGAGATGTATGACGGCGTATGATGGTAGAATGTGAGTTTTCTTGATAAAATATGTAAGTTGACCTGATGCCTTACAATAGTGAGATGTAGGTTGTCTTGTACGGCTAAAAGTATTAGTTGCTCTGACAACGTATGATGAAAAATATTTTCCAGTAAGCGTTTTACTGTGTAAAAAGGCATGATTTTACTCGATACATATACTCAAGTACAGTGAGCTGACTTGAGTATGATTGTGATGTGACCTGTCTGGACGAGTACATAACACCATGGTATTTGTCTTGACGAGTATGATGTAAATTTTGCTGTATTATGTATCATGATGATGATGATCATTATCATCATGTACCCCGAGTCCCATTCACCATATCAGACATCACCCAGTATGACACACCATCCACAGCACCATTCTAGCGTTCATGTGCCTATAATAATCATAATAATAATTATAATCAATAATTTTACCTCCATTATTATTATTATAATTTTCTTTAAAAACTTTATGTGTATATGTTAATTAGCATGATTTATAATTTGCCCAGTATTTTCCTTAAAGTTTATATATATATATATATACTTAGGGTTTAGTACAAATCATATATAAATAATCTTTCCGGTAATATTTATAACTATAATTAAATTTATTATTTCATTGTTATACACACACCATATTTGCATATAATTTTAGGATTTATACGGTGAGGAATAAAGATGAAGGGAAGGTAACTATTAGGGTTGTTGTTGTTTTAGATTCAGCTACTGGGAACAAAAGTTCCAAGTAGCACGGGCTATGGCGAGCCCGTAATGGACTTACCTGGCACAGGAGCGGGGCTGTGAACTATCAGGGGAAAGCGCCAACCCATTATGACTATACAGCACTTGGAAGGGATAAGAATTTGGGATGGGATGAGAGGAAGGAATGGTGCTCAACCACTTGTGCAGTTGGGGATTGAACGCCGACCTGCATGAAGCAAGCTCATTCACTCTACCGTCCAGTCCAAGTGGTTGAAGGAAATAAAGATAAAGTTTATGATCAGCATATATTAGTTGTGATTAATTAGATTATTAGTTATAGATTTAATAGCCTAATAAAGTTTAGGTTAACGGTCAATAATACTAGGAAATTTGAATAAATGAATTTTTTTTAACTTAATTATTAAAAGTATGTAGGATAAATAAATGAATTAATGAATGAATGAGTGAGATTAAATTACACACAACACAACTACGCTCAAGCTTTACTAAACTCAGTTCGCGATCAATTCGCATGGAAAAATAATACAAAAGTTAGGGTAACTAGTCGATGAGGGAACTACAATTATCATAATGAAATACATGCTCACATGAAGACACACTGACACACTAACCGAGACATTATTATATTAGTAGCTAGAGCTGCTATAGACGCCTCCACCACGCAACAACTGTAGACAACAGAGAAAATACACTAGGCGCAATCAATGGCTGCTCGGAGTACACTAGGCTATGACAACATCATGATGCTTACAAACACGAACTTAATATTATTCAATAATATCCGTTATGATATTTAGTACCACATTATGTTAAGGTTAAATTTAATTCGTACTAGATATAATTTATATAAGGGTTAAATATTGATGGTTAATATTGGTCTGGTATGGGAGTATCGTTAAGCAATCTGCAATGGAAATAACTTAAATGGTAACAAACCTTTGCAAGAAGATGGAGATAAATAGGGCAGGGTCCTCGTAGTATAGTCGGATTCGTTCTCGACGTACAATCGAGAATTCCGGGTTCGAATCCCGGGCAGGACAGAAATGGTTAGGCACATTTCCTTTCACATAGTGCCTGCTAGGAGAGTACCTACTCTCCTAGCAGTAGGTACTCGGAGTAAATAGGGTACTGAAAGTGAGTAGGTACTCATGAGTTAGTCAACTTCTTGTGGGGTTACATCCTGGGCGGGGTCAGTAATTCGACCTTGAGGGCCTCGATAAAAGCAAAAACATGTATGAGTACACTCTGACTATCTGTTCCCCGACACAAGGAAATGAATTATGAATTATTAAATAGAATGGTAGATATTTCTCTATGACAGGTATAGTCAGGGGAGTGAGTGACAGGTGTGGTCAGAGATCTGAGTGACAGGTGTGGTCTGGGGAATGAGTGATAGGGGTGTGAGGGACAGATGTATTCAGGAACAGGGGCGTGAGTTTTGGGTATTCTAGGTATTTGGGTATTGTCTAGGGTATGAGAAACAGGTGTGGTCAGACACTTAACGAAGAGGTGTGTCCCGCTGCAGGTACAAGGTGATGAATGATTGCTGGCATGGGGAGCCGCGATACCGCCCCTCCTTCACTCATCTGGAGAGGACGTTGGCGCGCATGATGAGCCAGGCGCACAACATGAGCGAGGCGCACAACATGAGCGAGGCGCACAACATGAGCGAGGCGCACAACATGAGCGAGGCGCACAACATGGGCGAGGCGCACAACATGAGCGAGGCGCACAACATGAGCGAGGCGCACAACATGAGCGAGGCGCACAACATGAGCGAGGCGCACAACATGAGCGAGGCGCACAACATGAGCCAGGCGCACAACATGAGCGAGGCGCACAACATAGGCGAGGCGCACAACATGAGCGAGGCGCACAACATGAGCGAGGCGCACAACATGAGCGAGGCGCACAACATGGGCGAGGTGAACAACATGAGCGAGGCGCACAACATGAGCAAGGCGTACAACATGAGCAAGGCGCACTCTAAGGTAACTCCCCAGACTCATCTTGCAGCATCCTGGAGGATGTTTATATGTCTGCCTCCAAACTGGCGCCTTCTTTTGATAATTACTTCCAAACCAGTCCTTTTATTTATTGCTCTTCTCTCACTTTGTATGTTAAACTTTAAAATATTCCATGATATTAATTGAAAATATGTTGACTTTTCTTCACATGAACTTATTAGTGTAACTTTTCTTTGCTGCGCAGTATTACGCAAACACAGAAGAGAGAAAGAAGTCAGTGAGGAATCATGAGGTGCCCAAAACCCATGGTACTAGCTACAGCAGCCTCCGTGATCAAGTGGTCTTCCAAATACAGCCAAGCACCACTTCTCGACGACCGCAAACACTCACCAAGTACAGCACTGTGACTCCTCTCGACGTACACTCCAGTGACGCACGCTCCATTGACGCACACTCCAGTGACGCACGCTCCAGTGACGCACGCTCCAGTGACGCACACTCTGATGACGCACAATCCAGCGACGCACACTCTAATGTCACTGTACCATGTGACCTGGGGACCACTACTTGTCCACGCCAAGCGACGCACTACCTGCCCATGCGCTGTGAGGAGAAACTCCAGAAGAAAGTTTGGAAAACATGATATGTATTATTGAAGTAAGGAGTCGCCGAGAACCCTGCTACTTTATACAGCTTGGATGAGTAACCATTCATCTTAGTGGACTAACAATCTTCGGTCCTAAGCAACATCGGATACGATATCGACTACAAGCTAGATCCACTGAAGAGCAGAGGTGCCATATAGGCACAAACAAAGAGTACATTATGTTTGGGTAAGGTCTCGATCAGCTTTTCCTGACCAGATTTAACAGATCCGTATTGATTTGTTGTGTTACATCCAGCGGCGGCAAGTTTATTGTGCACACCATACTCATCCTGTGGGCAGAAGTTTATTGTGCACACCATACTCATCCTGTGGGCAGAAGTTTATTGTGCACACCATATTCATCCTGTGAGCAGAAGTTTATTGTGCACACCATACTCATCCTGTGAGCAGAAGGGCTACAAGTATATCTGGGAGTTCGGCTTGTATGGGGATCTAGGTGAAGTAAAGTGTAAAGTGTGTAGACAAACATAGGGATACACTAGAGTACTACATTTTAGACTGATTAAATCGAGCCATTTGTAAATATAACTAAACATGCAATTCGTAAAGTGGAAAATAATTTTAATGTAAATGATAAAAATATCTGAAATAACTGAAATTTGATATTTCTCTTCTAGTAGATAAATGACATGTATCTTGAATGTATAATGAGGTCAGCCCTGTCATGTCCGGTTTGGTGTTGTTAGCCCCGTGGCCCTCAACCGTTCATGGTATGAGAGTCGACTTCGTTCATTACTGTGTATATCTAAGCTTGTTAATATAAATAAAATAAAGTTCGGGAGTGATTTTAGTCGCCCGACATTGAACTTTCTTCAAAGCAGATAAACTATGTAAAGAGGAGCTATAGGACATACTCTCCAACACCATATCTGTGATTACTCTGTTATCAATGACTTCAGACCAAATGCCATGAGATATTCTGAGCTCTGTAACTACTTATACAGTCACGAATATTGGAAGACATTCTTGTGTTCTACCTAGAGTTTGCTGGTGCAGGCTAATAGGTTCTCGCATCTAAAGTTTTCACCTGACTACGCATGACTTACCATCTTGTGAGATGGGAAAAATTAGATGAACTTATAGCTTAGCGTGTTCCTAAGCTTGTTTCAAAGAAAACAATAACATTTCGCTACTTACCGGTTGGGAATTGGTGTACCAGACTATATGTAATTTAACAAAACTTTAACTCAGTCCATGTAGGACAGCAGAAAATATATAAATCCTATCAATATAAATAAATTGTCACGTCTTTGGTAGGATACACCCTATAAACACAGTCTAAATTAATATATAATTATATAGTCCCAATTGCAGTCCCTTTGGCGCAGTGGTAAAACTGCGCCAAGGGATGCCCCGCGCGCTTCTTAAGCGCTTTGGCCTGAGTTAGTATCCTGGCCCGGGGAGGATTGACTGGGAGCCAATCCTTAATTGTAGCCTCTCTCTACCCAGCAGTATTCACCTAGTTGTACTTGCGGGGGTTGAGCTTTGCGGTTTCGGCCCGCCTCTCAGCTGTCAATCAATCAACTGTTACTAACTACTAACTCATTTTTTTCACACACACACAGGAAGCAGCCCGTAACAGCTGTCCAACTCCCAGGTACCTATTAACTGCTAGGTAACAGGAGCATCAGGGTGAAAAAAAACTGCCCGGGCGCCGGGAATCGAACCCCGGACCACAGGATTACGTGTACAGCGTGCTATCCACTCAGCCATCGGCCAGCAGTGTTAAACGATTTGCCCGAAACGCTATGCGTATTAGTGGCTTTAGGTAATGTATGTACTAGCTCTATCTATAAATCCAACATTATGTTTGTAAATCAACTATGTATGTACTTTTCCTGAATAAGAAAAATAATAATTTAATTTTAATTAATTTGGCGGGTTGTATTCCAGGGAAAATTAGGAATAAGGATCTGACCGAAACGCTATGCCTGTTAGTGGCTTTACAAGACTGTAAAAATTCTATAATATAGTGAATATATAAATATATAAACAAAATTTTATGCGCCCTAGCTTCAAAAAGGGATTTCCAAAATGTTAGTTTGGTGGCTTCAAGAACTGATTGTGGTGAGGTTGCTGGGCCTGGCGGTAGAGGGCAGCAGCAGCAGCCTCACACTGGGTTCTCATTGGCTTGTAGCGAGTAGATTATCCCAATAATATACTCGCTCCAAATGCATTGTTAATATTCCTGTCAACCTTTGGAGATGAATGAGGTGAGGCGTTGCCCGGGCAACACAGTGAGGTGTTGCCCGAGCATATAAGCAGCAGAATAGCAAACATTAACCAGAGTCTACTTTCAAGTGTGGTCTAGAACAGACACTTGCGAGATACCGTACCAACTGTCAGTGCGCTCAACTCACACCAAAGTATCACCTGTGTACTTCTGTATATTCGACCAAATATATATATAGTATCTTAGTGTCTGTGTTTATTTGTCACCATACTTTACGTAACAATAGAACCGTTACATTGGTGACCCCAGAGAGTTTCGACGATACCCAGCCACGATGGACTACAACATGGACTCTCACTGGACCTCTACTGCTACTGTTTGCTGTGATGGAACACTGCCAACACCCTCGCCACAGCTATGATTTTCATCGCGTCCATCTCTGCATTTTCATCTAGTACGGCTTGCTGCTCCACGATCATTACTCACTCATCTGACAGCCTCATCAATGATTACATCATGTTGGATCTACAGCTTGTCCTGCCGACTCTCCGTCGCTGCCAGGGCACTGCTTGTCCTACGCCCACGACAGCTGCTCTGTCATCAGATTCATCTACACGTTCACTGCATTTTGATACTCGGCCAACTCAAGCCCTTTGCGCAGTACAGGACTTACAGCTTGCGTTTCCGACACTTCGTCGCCTTCAGGACAATTCAGCTCTAGATATGATTACCTCGTTGTCCTAACTACGTGCCTACATTACCTCCTAATGTCCTGGTGCCCGAGCCCATCCGCCCCGGATCTAAATGCTCCACCAGCGACCCAAGGACGCAACAATTATGCACATTCTTCTCTCCTGCTACACCGAGCTTGTCCACACACTGCCTACATCTTTTAGTACCAGACTACAATTTCCACAGTCAACAATGTAGTACTCGGCGTGTACAGTCCTAATCAACCCAAGACGCTACAGCTTCGACACAGAGCAGACAGCAGACTACGACCGCATCGAGCCGCCACGCTCTCGCTCCCCGAGTTTAGACACACAATTCTCAATCGAGCCGCCACGCTCTCGCTCCCCGAGTTTAGACACTCACAATTCTCAATCGAGCCGCCACGCTCTCCCACATAGAGCTCCACGACTCCGGCCTCACTCAGCTCTCTGCTCTGCTCCAGGCTTCGTCTCAACGTCTGCGACACTGCTAAATCCAGAGACACATCCGCCGATTACGCAGTTCACTTTTCAACCCCAGTTACCAGCCGCACCACAACCTGATCCTACGACGACGGACGATCCTGTGCGACCTCCCACCCTACGACCCCAGTTAGATGACATCAGCGAAGAGGAGAAAGTTAACTTTGATGGTTATGTAACGCGAGCAGGGTGTACAATTCAACGACCAGCTAAGTTCCTTGATCAAGTATTTTTCCTTTCATCCCCTGGGAGGGGGAGTTCTGTAGCGAGTAGATTATCCCAATAATATACTCGCTCCAAATGCATTGTTAATATTCCTGTCAACCTTTGGAGATGAATGAGGTGTGGCGTTGCCCGGGCAACACAGTGAGGTGTTGCCCGAGCATATAAGCAGCAGAATAGCAAACATTAACCAGAGTCTACTTTCAAGTGTGGTCTAGAACAGACACTTGCGAGATACCGTACCAACTGTCAGTGCGCTCAACTCACACCAAAGTATCACCTGTGTACTTCTGTATATTCGACCAAATATATATATAGTATCTTAGTGTCTTGGGTTGATTAGGTGCCTTTGACGCTCCCTTCAAAACTATTTTGTAAACAATAATTTGCACGGGAAGAGGAGTGATGAACTTTACTCCTGCCAGTGGGATTTTTTAACGTATGGTAATCACGAACCTTGTTGTGTTGTAAACACCTGGAGGCTCACCGCTCATCTATGATAGGTTAAGACGCTTACTGCTGAGCTAAGATACGACAGAAGATTCACCGCTGAGCTGAGGTAGGACGGACTAACTGTGCCATTAATATCCCAGAAACTGATAAATGTTGCATATCTCGCGGGTAGGTGACCCAACTCACTATACTCATTGTCAGTGAATAAATAAAATTGTATTTTTGCTGTTTTTCTGCCATATTCCCCCCTTTTTTATTTTTCTCTCTAACCTAATGTACCTTCTTGTATATAAATAAATAAATAAATAAATAAAAATTGTATTTTTGCTGTTTTTCTGTCATATTCCCCCCTTTTTTATTTTATATTTTCTCAACACATTTTATACATACTTTAATCTCAATTAGTATTAAGTTTTAGTCTTTAGCCCTTGTATGTTCGAGTCTTTGTGCCGAAGAACGTGTTGGTGACAGAGACCATGAAGGCAGTAGAGTTTTAGCAGACGTTGCCCGTTCTCATTCATCCTCCCTATGCCAAATTGACCCAGACAAGTGGGCCGAGAGTTGTGATCGGCACCCACTCTGGCGTTGAAATCGCCGAGGATGAACAGTGGCTCCTTTACAGGGATTCTCGCTATGACTGTTGAGGTCATCGTAGAATTTTTCCTTTGCCTCTGCTGGAGAAGTCAGGGTTGGTGCATATGTATTTATTTATTTATTTATATATATATAAAGACACTCGCCTGGCGTTCCGCGAGCGCTATGTCATGGGTTCGTATCCTGGCCGGGGAGGATTTACTGGGCGCAATTCCTTAACTGTAGCCTCTGTTTAACGCAACAGTAAAATGTGTACTTGGATGAAAAAACGATTCTTCGCGGCTGGGGATCGTATTCCAGGGACCATAGGATTAAGGACTTGCCCGAAACGCTACGCGTACTAGTGGCTGTTCAAGAATGTAACAATTGTATATACAAGAAGGTACATTGGGATTGTGAGGATGTACTAATTACATTGACTGGTCCTGTTTGGGAGTGCAGTTGCAGAGACAGAATTCGTTCGGTTTCCCCCATCGGTGGCATAATGTGTCCCAACAGTGCATTTCTGACGGCAAATCCCACACCATGTTCTCTGGTCTCGTCTGGAGGTTTTCCTTGCCAGAAGAAAGAGAAGGCCGTCTCGTTCACAGATCCTGATCCTGGAAGCCTGGTCTTTTGGAGAGCAACAATACCCATCTGCAGTTTGCTCAGCTCCCTATCGATGACTGCTATTTTTCGGACGTTGATTTCTTGCAGGTCGTCAGAGAAACCTGGTGTCAGTGTCCTGACGTTCCATGTGCCCAGCTTTAGGGCAGTTGATATTTTCATTTTAGGTTTGGTATTGCTTGGTGCAAAGTTGTCGGGCCGCTTGTCAGTTTTCACCACATGCACCCAGTAAGGTTAACGGACCGTGGCAAGGCAACACCTTATTGGCTGGGGTTTGCCCAGCTTGAGGCGGGCGGTAGCTGCCTAGTGGGGCGCGATGACCCCTCCCACCATCGGAAGCAACCCCTGGCGTCACACTCTTCGCCAATCGAGCAGAAGACTTAAAACCGGTAGACTGTCGCTTCCCGTGTTGGTTCGACGCTGTGAGGCGAAGCTGGAGTGTCCTCTCCAGGACGCAAAGCCTGGGTAGGTAGATATGGAGAAGCTGTTACCCATGCAACAGGTCCCCCCTCTCCACGTTGCTGAAATTATCCAATGGAAAGGCAAATGCCAATACACATGGTTCCAGCACCGTCGCAGGAGCTGCCAGAACGAGGTCGAAGTCAACAACGAATTGCCTTAGGGGCTTCGACTCCGGATTTTTCCTCGAGGTTGACTCCTGAAGCCTTTCCCAAAAAGGGGCATGGCTGCAAGGCAGCAGGGGTTTAAAATCAGGGTTTTCCATCCCCTAGATGGGCTGCCTTTCCAGGCTATCAAGTCCCATCTACCCGAAGCAGCTGGTTTTAAGGCGCCAGAGGCATGCCCTCGCCCCTTCTTCTGTCGGTAAAAGCAGTTCCGCCGGACTTAAAGACTAAGCCACCCGTGCAGACCAGGAGTTGGACTTGGTTGTCAGAGGCTATTTGAGATGCATGCCGTATATCAACACCGAGTCTCTTGGAGACACCCCAGATCCAAGCACTGGCACCAGCTTGACCTTATTCTTACCAGGCGTGCAAGTCTACCCAGCGTCAAGATTACGCGTAGCTACTAGAGTGCTGTCTGTGACACCGACCACTCCTTGGTATGTAGCAGGGTCAAGATGCAAACAAAGAAGATTCATCACTCTAAAAAGGAGGGCAGACCTCGCATCGACACCACCAAGACCCACAACCAGGACAAGGTGAAAGATTTTGCACGTGTGCTCGAGGAAGCTCTCCCTGGCCCAGCCGGGGTAACCGCCTGTAAAAGATGGGAGCACTTCCGAGACGCTGTGTTCAACGCTGCCATTTCCACCTTTGGCAAGAAGACCAGCAGATCGGCAGACTAGTTCGAGGCTCACTCAGAAGAGATGACACCTGTCATCGAAGAGCAGAGAAACGCCTTGGCAGCCTACAAAGCCTGCCCAAGTCAGCACAACTTCAAGATCCTTCGGGCCATCCGCTGCAAAGTGTAGCAGAGCGCCAGGCGATGTGCCAACAACTATTGGCTCCAGCTCTACTCCCAGATACAGACTGCAGCGGATACAGGCAATGTAAGGGGAATGTATGACGGCATCAAGCAGACCCTCGGCCCAATCCAGAAGAAAACCGCTCCTCTGAAATCTGCCACTGGCGAGGGAGATTCAGGACCAGACTGTTACGAATATCACTAGGATTCTGCCATTACTCTTGATTCTCATATTACTTTATTGTCTTGTTCTTTAATATAGCATCTAGTTGTATGATATAAGATTTTGTATGTTATATATATATATATATTATAGCATGCAGTAGTGTGCCTGAGTTACATTATATTGTGTGAGGCTTTTGGTGTTAATTTCTCATGTAGTTTCTCCGTGTGGGCGGTTGACCATATTTGGATATGACCAGTGTGGGAACATTGTTGTCAATCGAGTGTTTATAGTTTTCCATTTGAGTTATGCCCATATTTGGTTTCTGTATTATTGTATGGAATGCTGTACCAGTGTTTACTACTCTTTAGTTTACCAATGTTTTGAATATTAGTGCTGCGTTTTATTATTAGATTTTCCACAATGTTTTGTGTGGACGGTTAGTTGATTTTTTGGTAGACGCTTGGCCTGCGGTCCAAGGCGTGGGCAGAAGCGTGGCGGCTGCTGTCGTGTGGAGGCATGTTTTAAGTTAAGTCATTGGTCACTGTTATTTTAGCCCATATAAATGTTAATTATCTGGTTAGATGATATTGTATATTTCTCTCTAATTAATCCATGTCTTAGTGATAGTGTTCATGTCTCAATAAGGAGGTTATTCTATGATTTGCATGCTGAAGAATATTTCTGGTTATTATTTATACATTTAAGTGTTATTCAGATTGTCCCCCTTAGCATAAATATATTGTTCTCCATTTTATGCAGTGATTTATATTTACCCCTAGACAGTTGTTGGCAAGGCCGATTTATTATCTTTTTATTGCACTGCGGGGAGAAGAACCTTGTTTAGTCTCAAGGGTGGTAACACAGACACTGCAGCTGAAGCGCTGGGTCGAGCACTACTCTGAGCTATACGCCAGGGAGAATGTGGTCACCGTAGACGCCCTGAGCGCCATTGAGTGCCTGCCTGTGTTAATGGAGCTCGACAGTGAACCGACCCTCGAAGAACTCAGTGAGGCCCTAGACTCCCTTGCTTCTAGCAAAGCTCCTGGAAAAGACGGCATTCCTGCTGAGACCTTGAAGTGCTGCAGTGGTAGCCTGCTCATGGAGCTGCATGAAATTCTCTGCTGGGAAGTAGAAGAAGTGCCACAGGACATGAGGGACGCCAACATCGTCACGCTGTATAAGAATAAAGGTGACGGGCGACTGCAACAATTACCGTGGAATCTCCCTCCTCAGTATTTGTCGGAAAGCTGTTTGCTCGAGTCACACTGAAGAGGCTCCAAGTACTTGCAGAGAGAGTCTATCCAGAATCACAATGCGGATTCAGAGCTAACAGGTCCACCACCGACATGGTCTTTTCCCTCAGACAACTGCAGGAGAAATGCAGGGAACAGAAGCAGCCACTCTTCGTAGCCTTCATAGATCAGAAGAAGGCCTTTGACCTCGTCAGCAGGGATGGCCTGTTCAAGATCCTCCACAAGATCGGATGCCCACCCAGGCTCCATCAGATCTTTCCATGAGAACATGAAGGACACCGTGGTCTTTGATGGCCTTCCGAGACGCCTTTGACATCCGAAGTGGAGTAAAGCAGGGCTGCGTCCTGGCTCCAACCCTATTCGAGATTTTCTTCGCAGTTATGCTGCAGCACGCCTTCCGATCTGGCACGGAAGGTATCTACCTCCGGACCAGGTCGGATGGAGAGCTCTTTAACTTCGCCAGGCTGAGAGCCAAGACAAAGGTTCGGCTGAGGTGTCTGCGTGACTTCCTTTTTTGCCGACGACGAAGCAGTCACTGCCCACTCAGCCGAAGACCTCCAACGGCTCATGAGCCGTTACAGCGAGGCCTGTCAGGCTTTCGGACTCACCATCAGCCTGAAGAAAACACAGGTCATGGGACAAGGAGTGGACTTCCCACCCGACATCTACATCTCCGATTCCAAACTGAAAGTCGTTCATGACTTCGTGTACCTGGGCTCCACAATCTCTGACTCCCTCTCTCTTGATACGGAGCTAAACAAACGCATCGGTAAGTCATATACTACCATGTCCAGACTGACAAAGAGAGTGTGGGCCAACAATAGGCTGACTGAGTATACAAAGATTCAGGTTTACAGAGCTTGTGTCCTGAACACTCCTTTATGACAGTGAGTCTTGGACACTCCGTGCCCGCCAGGAAAGACAGCTGAATGCCTACCACATGCGCTGCCTTCGACACATCTTGGGCATCACCTGGCAGGACAAGGTGACAAACAACAACGTCCTGGAGAGAGCAAGAATCACCAGCATGTAGCAATGCTGAAACAGAAACGAATGCGCTGG